CCTTAAGCAAGGAGAGAAACCAATCTCCGTTTACTTCTCTACTTTGAATCTTTGTGGCATGAAATTGACCACCTAGAAACACTTGAGTGGGAAAGTCAGAAGGATGCRCAGACTCATAGAAAGCAAGTTGAAACTAATAGGGTTTTTGAATTCCTAGCTGGTATTAATCCTGACTATGATATGGTGAGACAACAAATACTAACAAGGGACAGTGTGACCTTATCTCAAGCCTACTCCTTGGTGCATAGTGAAGAGACTAGGAGAAAGGTTTTGATGCAGCATCAGCCCTTCCCACCAGCTTTGGCAGCAATTAAACCTAAGTTTGGGGGTGATACAGAAAGGGATATAAAGAAGGAAGATAAGCGGGATCTAGTGTGTGAACATTGTAAGAAACCTAAGCATACTAAAGACACATGTTGGAAGCTACACCCTCATCTAGTCCCAACAAAATTGAGGAACAAAAGGGGTAATGCCCATATGGCTGTCAATACCGATTCTGCATCCTCATCGGGCACAAAATGCACGCCCCTAGACACCTTAGCTGTTGTTCGGGCTGCCTTAACTCAATTGGAAAAGGAAGTTGTGAATTCGGCTCAATCATCTCAGTCATCATCAGCTCCTTCCACATCAGTGTTCTCTACACCACAGCAGAATGGGATTATCCACATCAAAATCTTCAGATCCGATAATGCAAAAAAATACTTTACCAAGCCACTGGCCTCTTATCTACTTGATCATGGGATTATTCACCAGAGTACTTGTCCTTGTACACCACAACATAATGGGGTTGCTGAGAGGAAGAATAAGCATATATTGGAGGTGGCTAGAAGCATTATGTTTAACTCCAATGTGCCTATCCGTTTCTGGGGCGATGCTATTCTTACAACAGTGTATCTCATTAATCAAGTTCCTTCACGGGTTATTGACATGAGGCCTCCCTTTACCCTTCTATACTCTGATAAAGAATTATCTATTGTTCCCCTTAAAAACTTTGGTTGCACTTGCTTTGTTCAGATTCTTGAACCTCATCGTTCCAAATTTGATCCTAAGGCCTCCAAATGCATTTTTCTCGGTTATGCACAAACTCAAAAGGGTTATTGCTGCTATGAACCTACTTCTGGGAGGAGATTTGTCTCGATGGATGTTACTTTCTTTGAGGAGGTACCCTATTACCCTAGGGTTTCTCCTTAGGGGGAGAGTAGTGAGAGTGGGGTTAACTCATCAGA